GAGGTTCAGGCGGCCGCATTACCGGACAGGGTGGTTGGCGGTGTCCGGGTCCAGGGCGGTGACCACCCCCACCACGGACCCCACATGCACGTCCTCCTGGACCTCCAGCAGGTTGGAGGGCGGCCGGAACTCGGGGGGCTCGTCCACGTCCAGCACTGAGACCCGCACAATGGTCTGGTCCCGGAAGGTGCCCAGGTCCACGAACCGCGGGTCCACGAACTTGTTGAGGGCCTCCACCACCACCGTGTGCACCTTCTTGGACTCATAGTCGAGAGGCTGGGACAAAGGAGTGGGAGACGGGAGAGGGTGAGTGGTGAGCTGTACCCCATCTGAGCTGTACCCCATCTGAGCTGCACCGTATCTGAGCTGTACCCTATCTGAACTGTACCCCATCTGAGCTGTACCCCACCAGAGCTGTACCCCATCTGAGCTGTACCCCATCTGAGCTGCACCTCACCAGAGCTGTACCCCATCTGAGCTGTACCCCACCAGAGCTGTACCCTATCTGAACTGTACCCCATCTGAGCTGTACCCTATCTGAGCTGCACCCCACCAGAGCCGTACCTCACCCCAGTTGTGCCCCACCCCAGTTGTGCCCCATCAGAGCCAAACCCCACCGGAGCTGCCCCTTCCTCCATTGCAGACACCAGGGCAGCACCAAAGCCAATGACCCCAGCAGTGTCTCTGTGGGGCGCTGGGAGCTCTCAGGCCCATGCCAAGGGGGGCAGGAGGAAGAGGAGGTCTCCAGCCCACCCCCAGACCCCCAGGCAGTGCAGCCCGGATTCACTGAGGACAGCGCGCGCAGCGAGCGAGCGGGGTCTGATCATCAATCACTGCTGTACTTCTGCAGGCGGCGAGCTGCACGCAGCGGCCTTGGTGAACGATCGTTCTTTCTCGCCTGCATCAAGTGCTTGCTTGATTGTTTTTGCCACCAAAAGCAGATACAGTCAGAGTGCTGTTGGTCGGGCATAGGAATTAGGTGTCCATGTTTCTCCCCTAACAGGTGCCATCAATAACAGCCGTAAGCACTCGTCTGCACAGCCCCTCGCACGGCTCGCTGCTCCCTGCCGCCCCAGCAGCCCCCAAGCTGCTCTGCCCATCCTTCCCCCAGCACTGCTCTGCGTTTCCCCATGCAGGTGAATGGACCCGGTCCCTCCCTGCACCCGCAGCCACAAAACCACAACTGCCACAGCGACAGCAGAACCCGGAGCACCTCAGCTGAAATGCAGCGGCAGGAGCCCCCAGGGAGGGACCACAGTGGCAGGAGCCCCCAAGGAAAGGGCCCTCCTGCAGACCTGCGCCCTCCCCACGCTTCCCTGTCTCTCACCTTCTGCACCGTGATGACGGCCTCTTGGGTGTTGCTGTCTGTGGTGACTTTGAACATCTCCACCCCCTCCTCGTCCTTCACCTGGTACGTCATGTCCGTGTTCTCCCCGACGTCGGAGTCCTCGGCCTTCACCCTGCCGATGGCAGTGCCCACCGGGGCCGTCTCCACGATGCTGAACTGGTACATCTCTGCAGGAGAAGGGACCGTGGTCACTGCTGCTGCCCTGACCCCCAGCCTGACATGGCCTTCACTCACCTCCCCAGGCCCCCTGGACAACCAGTGCTGCCCCCCCCAGCACGGGGCCAGGACCAGGACCAGGCCAGTGCCCGCCCCGCTGCCAGGACTCACTCTGGGGGAAGCGCGGAGGGTTGTCGTTGACGTCGGTGACGACGATGGTGACCGTGGTGGATCCGGACAGGCCGCCCAGCTGCCCAACCAGTGCTGCCCCCCCCAGCACGGGGCCAGGACCAGGACCAGGCCAGTGCCCGCCCCGCTGCCAGGACTCACTCTGGGGGAAGCGCGGAGGGTTGTCGTTGACGTCGGTGACGACGATGGTGACCGTGGTGGATCCGGACAGGCCGCCCAGCTGCCCCGCCATGTCGGTGGCTCGGATCACCACCTCGTACCGGTCCTGCGTCTCACGGTCCAGGTCGGCCACGGCAGTGCGGATCACCCCTGGGAACGGCAGGGCAGCGGGGGCACAGCC